AATTCAAAAACAATAGCAGCATTGTTTTGATCGGTATTATTTAAGTCACTTTGTTTCTTTTTCCAGTCAAAGCAGTCTTTCTTAAAATGCCCTAACTTTCCATAGTCGTAGCATTTCTTACCACTTTTATCTTTAGATTTGGATCGCATTTTAGATTTTCCTCTTCCCTTTTTGTTTTGAAAGTTAAATTCTTTCTTCTCAGGTCTTCCCCTAACAAATAGGCTTTCTTCTCTCGAATTAGTTCTGTTGTCTCTTTTTAGTACAAGTTCTCTAGATTTCAATGCATCTATAACAATAGCTTGCGACAGAGTATCCCTACCATATTTTATGGTATTTCTGATTTCTTTATAAGATTCGGGAAGTGCATTTAATAATATGACAGCTAAATCCTCATCATCGAACTTCTTATCATTATGAGATAGACTCTTAACAATTATGTTGTAATCACTTAAATTCCATTCTATATCCTTCCACGGGTCCATCTTAAAACTAAACAGCTTTTCCAACAATATATTTTGTTAGGTAAAGTCTTAGTCTAGAATAAAGCATTTAAGGCAGTCCATAAAGTCCTAGCATCTTTAGCACTATCAACTTGTCTAACAATGTTATCAGATAAGTGTAAAATTATAAAACTATATGCTATTTCATTCATATCTTCAATTTCACATGGTTTAACTTTTAACTCATCAGAGAAAGTAGAAGGATCATCGAAAGCTTTAGCAACTCTCTGTTGGACCAAAATTGTCCTCATTTTCTGTTTCCAAATTGAGTAGTCCCCCTTTCCATCGAATTGCGATAATTCGACCCTCGAACCCATTCCAGATTCTGTAAAAGAGTGGCCAGTACTCATGGACACAACAGAAAAGGTTTTGAAAAACTATTTTCCAGATGATCAACACACAGTATGAATGCAGAGTTAAAACTAATATCCAGAAATGAAGCACAACAATGAATCAATCCGATCACTAAACTTCAGTGTGATGTGTGCAGGTGTAATCCAAAACTCGGGCAGTGAACACGTGTACAATGCAAGTAAATATGCTTTTCAAGTTACAAATTAATCACAAGAATTTAGTAACTAATTAATCGTGCATAAAATTGTAAAAGTACCAAACCTAATCTATCGGAGAGTTTGAAATAATCTTACCAAACCATTGTTGAAAAATCGTAACTATACCACTAGTTCCTCAGCCAGTCCAAGTTTCCAAAATCACTCAATCCAACTACCAACATACACACAGAAAATAACCAATAATCAGTATCGAATTAGAAACCCTAAAATGCTAAAGAACAATGAACCCTAATCAGCAGATCAAATGAAGGATGCAGTCAAACCCTAGATCGAAAAATCTATCTCTGATACCAGATGTTGGGAATTAATAGCATAATCTAACCACAAATTCCTTAAGCTAACAGAGTTCATCTAGCTCTAAATCAAAATACAAAGCAGGCTTTAGTATACAACATACATTAACTCTTAACCTTAGCATACAATCATATAATCCATCATTATCATAAACATAGCAGAAATTAACAGAGTACAGGAACCAAATGAACTGAAATCAAAGCATATAAACTGGACAGAAATTAGAAGCTTAAAAGAAGACAGATTCTTCCCTTTCATCCATGCTTCTTTTCTTCTCCAGTGGCTGGCTATTTTCGGCTGAAAACAAGGCTCAGGAACAGCCCTTTCACGCTTGCAATTCGCCGTCCAGAGAGAGTGTAGAGAACCGGAAGAACCTCTCCTTCAAATGGTTTGGATCATCGACCAAACGGTCTACCCAAATCAGCCAAGAACTCATCCTAAATCACCACTAAGCCACCGAGAAATACCACACAACTTAGCCACTCTTACAGGCATAAGTATTCCAGAGTATTTCCTCAATAAAACTGGCTACAAGGTCAATTTATGAAGCACCAAAGATAAGGTAGAGGAGGAACGGTTCTACTGGGAGAGCTCAAAAAATGAGTATAATGAAGTTTATATAGGAAGGCAAAAGTCCAGGCTCTAGCAATGAAAGTGACACGCCTGGAAGAAAACAAAAGGGGTGGAATACAAAGGAAGGAACCCATTTGAATTTTGAAAGTCAATGCCCAAAGAAAAATATCTCACCCAAGATGAAATCCCTACCATCCAATATATCTAATGGCCACAAACAATTCAAAGTAGTGCAATCCGGGTCACAAACAATCACTAGCCCAATAAGTGTTATGTGAACCACTTAAGCCCACAATATTGAATACCAAACAGCTATCATATATGTGCATGTATAACATCTATAAGGTTTTACATTTTATTTATAGAGCAAGAAGTATGCTTTGTTGACCCTGGATGTTCCTCCTCCATTCCATGATACATTAAGCAAGACTCGCATGCTAGGTGCTCGATAAAATATCAACCGGGATAATAAGACAATGCAGAAACAAGTTGGTGGCAGTGGTGACATTTTTGCTTATTGGCAACCTTTTCAATACATATTTCAAGGTGAAGAAAATCTTCGACTGAACATGGTATCATGAGAAGTTCCCTTGTTTGATAACCATAAAACTCAATAGCTCTATCAAGAAGCCTAAGAAAATAAGGATTGCTAAGCTACGAAATTGGGATGACGAATCTTTGAGATGGGCCATTTCCTTTCTTCAATTTCATATTCTTTTCCTTTTGTTTATGCATCGCAACTAGTAGATGACTCACTACTTGTGTTTGTGATATTGATGAAAGCGTATTATTTTATTAATGCACTACTTAATTAAGATATATTTGTAGATTGTTAAGGCAAGTACATAGAAGAATTTAATGGGTTCAATTTATAGGGCTAAAAATGGAGAAATATTTTTGCATTGATATTATTAGTTAATCAACAAGAGAGAACTTTCCTATGAAGTAGTTGGATGATGACCTCGAAATTTCTTCTTCTTGTTCTAATCGTTAATTCCCTATTGTATTTTAGTAGTTATTCATCGATGGAAGATTCGAAAATATTAGTGGCATGGTGGATGTATTCAAAGATCTCATTCTCCTTTTAGTCTTCATTCTGTGGGTTCTTTTCATGTCCCTATTCAAGTTTCTTTAATGATCATTGAATTTTCAGCCACCGTATCCATACGATTTCTTTGTAAAAGTAAAGGACAGACCGATTACAAAATGGATGTTCAATTATTTAATGGACTAATCCGTAAAGAATCTACTAATATTCCTCTGTAACTAGAACTGAAATTTGGCTTGACTTCTGTGTCTTTTTTTGTGATTAATATTGTTGCTTTGAGCAAAACAAAACAAAGTACAAAATTGAGACATGCCCGAGCAATTCATAGACGTGTTTTATTGAAAGTACTTTGAATATGTCAAATGAAAACTATAGTGTGTCTAGGAGAGCAGTTTAAGGCCAAAAAATTGATTTTCCAACCGTTAGAAATGAAAAATTGCAGCCATTGTTGACTTTGGCTCTCACATGTGGGGCTGTCTGGTAGAGCTATTCAGCAAATTTTAAGCAAAAAATGAACCCTTTTTTTCCACATATGGGTCCCACATGTGAGAGCCAAAGTCAACTTCCTGGGGTTGTCTGGAAGAGCCATTCAGCAAATTTTAAGCAAAAAATGGACCCTTATTTCCACATATGGGTCCCACATGTGAGAGTCAAAGTCAACAATAGCTGCAATTTTTCATTTCTAACGGTTGGAAAATCAATTTTTTTGGCCTTAAACTGCTCTCCCAGACACACTATAGTTTTCATGAAGTGGAGTCTGGGGTTGGGGCAGGGGCGGGGGTGGGTTTATCTCTTGTCAAGGTCACCCAACTCATAATGCGGAGCATGTTTGAGTGTAATTTTACTTATAAATAAGGATTAAAGAAGTATGTGTCCATATATACATATAACATTTAAGCCTTTGGCCCACCCGGTATGGCTACCATCACTTTGGCCATCTTGTCATATGATATATAAAGAACCAAATACCTTGACGAATCAAGCATACTCAGCACCAATTGGTGTCCCAAACAAACAAAATCCTCAACCACGCCAAGACAACAAGTAATCTTTGTTTAAGAAGATATTAATTTCCAATCTGCATTATGAGATAAAACCCTTTAATTTTATTTATCATAGCTAATTTTACATTCGGATAATGATGTTTTTCTTATTACATCTTACATCCAATAATATATAATCCACGTCCGGCTGGTTGCGGTGAATTGCTTCGGGATTGGTAAGGGAAGGTAATTTTTGGGTTCTATCATTCTCTTGGGGTTGGTACTAACACTTTAAAGGAGGTATCAGCTCTTAAGATAGGCCTTCAAATATGTTATGTCCTTGGCATTGACAAGATTGCTATAGAAACAGATTCTAATGTGGTGGTTCATTGGTTTCATTATAATGTTAACATACCTTGGTCTGTTCGACTAATTTGGGAGAATATTTTGGAACTTGCTCATGTTATATCTATTGATATATCACATATTTATCGAGAAGCAAATCAGGTGGTAAATTCTTTAGCGCGTCTTGGATCTCGAGGTCGTTCGGATTTCTTAGAATCAATATCTAGTTTCCCTATTTCTACAATCGCTTTTCATATTTGTAACGAGATATTTGGAAACTATAAAACTATTCTGCACCCACCGTCTCGTCCCTAATGCTCATTGAGTAGTTCCGGTAGAATCAAATACTTGCTATAGCAAATGGATTAATTTTTTATATATTTGCACAGATATTTTTAAACCAGTGTATGCTCACATATATGGAGATAGCTTGTATTTGGTTTCTCGTGTATTTTGTAAGGGACGCGACCAGAAAGAGGAAACGATAATTATGAAAAGAAAAAGAAAAATAATGATTTAATATTGAATAATAAACAACTATCATATATGTGCATGAATAACATATATAAGGTTTTACATTTTCTTTACATTATCAGAGAGAGAAGTATGCCTTGTTGACCCTTGATGTTCCTCCTCCATCATGATACATTAAGCAAGACTCCCGTGTTAGGTACTCGATAAAATATCAACCGGCATAATATGACAATGCAGAGACAAGTTGGTGGCAATGGTGACGTTTTTGCTTATTGGCAACCTTTTCTATACATCTTTCGAGGTGAAGAAAATCCTCAACCGAACTTGGTATCATGAGGAGTCCACTTGTTTGATAACCATAGAACTCACCGGCTCTATCAAGAAGCCTCTGAAAATAAGGATTTTTCAGGTACGAAATTGGGATGACGAATCTTTGAAATGGGCCATTTTCTAATCCCACTTGGACCGGCACACGCCCTTTCTCCAATTTCATCTTCCTCTCCTTTAGTTTATGCATTGAAGCTAATAAAGTAGATGACTGACTACTTGTGTTCGTGATCTTGTTGAGAGTCTATTATTGTATTAATGCAATAATTACGATATATTTGTCGATTGTTGAGGCAGCTACATTGAAGAATTTACGGGGTTAATTTATAGGGATGAAAATGGAGAAATATTGTGCATTGATAATAATAAATAACTATAGAGAACTTTCCTATGAAATTGTTGTATGACAATCTCGAAGCTTCTCTTTCTTGTTCTAATCGTTACTACCTATTCGAATTTTCATATTCATCTATGGAAGATTCGATAATATAATTGGCACACAAGTTAGTACGGAATTGATGTGATGTACTCAAACATCTCATTCTCCTTTTACTCTTCATTCAATGTGTTAGGTCTAAATTATATAATTAACAATTTCTAAATTTGTAATTGGCAATTTCTTTAGTCAAAATCATATTCTAGTTGAATTCAATTAGGAGTTTATCGAGTTGTAATCAAAGTCAAAATTAGAGTTATTGAGTTCCAATTATAGTAAAAATAGCTTGGGGTTGATAGTATAATCCTTAGAGGAGTTAAAGATATCTAAGAAGATCGCATATAATCATTGAAATGCAATTAGAAATAAAAAAAAGTGTCAAAGTGTTGCACAAATTTTGCTCCAAATTATCGGCCACATGTTTCAACTCATTTTTCACATGTAAAACATTGGAATTTGGACAAGGTTATTTAAAAGAATTGTAGCCATTTAAGTGATCTTTCCAACGCATTTTGAATTACCTCAATTTGATATCGAGATAGAAAGTTATGATGAAAATACTAACAATTGATCAGCTGCCGCTAGCTTGGTGCTTGAGCACCCCTATTACGTGGTGAATGTAACGCCCGAAAATTTTCTTGAATAAAATTTGTTCTATATGCTATAATTGTCTTTATAATTTTGAGAGTTGAGGAACTAAAATGAAATAGGTATAAAATGTTTTATTTTTCTTGGGCCGACTAATAAGACTTTGATAGAACAAGTTTTAGTATATCAATATTGGACTCGTTGGATAGTACATATTAAATAACGTACCATGAAATCAAGAAAAGTTAATTCGAATAAGTTACGCCAAATATATGGAAGTCCAAAGAAGTTGACTTTAATTGGTAATTTATTTAAAGTTGGTTGATAATTTAGATTCGTATGACAAGCCACGATTCGTATAGGATAAAGGTTAATTGTTAATTATAATCCTAAATTTATTTTGATAAGTTCAATGGCAATCCTATTTTTGATAACTGTCAATTTTTAATTATGATGATATTCTATTTGTGATGAGTGTTAATCATATATTTGATATGTTTCAAATTTCAATATTGTTATCCAATTAAATTAGGAACCATTAATTTATGTTAAATACCTTTTCCCTAACCTTCCGCGTGTGATGTCTTATTAGAAAAGCATTAGTGGAGCACAATGGAAACACCACCTTTTTCATTCTTTCAATTTGTACTAATTTTCTCATTCCAAAAGTTGTACACTTGTTATTCTATCAACATATTATATTGAATGGATAATTATGACTAGGGGTGGGCGTGGGTTGAGTTGGATTGGGTCGGTTTTTGCCCCAACCCAAACCCAACCCAACATTGTCGATTTGTTCGAAATCCAGCCCAACCCAACCCAACCCAACCCATGTAAATGTTGAAACCCTACCCAACCCAATTATGTGTCAATCAGGTTGGGTTGGGTTGGGTTGGGTTAGTCGGTTTGAATCATAAATTCCAATTTTTTTGACACATGTTGGAATTAAATGAATTGAGATCCTAGCGGGACAAGTAGTATAG